GTCCTGGATTCTTACAACAAAATCTCCTACATATTCAACTAAGTATCGAGAGACTAAACAGAAACAAAAGCATCAAGACAGTGAATTAACTCTAGCACTTTGCTGAATATTTGAAATTATATCTAGAAAAATTATTACTATCTCAAATATGATCATCCTGTTATATAAAATTTACTTAACAACGTGTGTATGATTGAAAAAACAATGCTCCAAAGTAAAATTTCCCTCCTCCAAAAAAGAGCAGAAACACCCAAACTCCAAAAGTAAGCATCACAAATACCTCTTTTTCATTCAACGAAACTCTTCGCAATAATAAACACAATTAACCAATGAATGGATAAACAAAACGTGGTATTGACTACTACGGAGTATTATTCAGCTTTAAAAAGGAAGGAAACTCTGACACACACTACAAATGGATACGCCATTAAGACATTTAGCCTTTCATTAAGGCTAAATGAAACAAACAAGTCACAGAAAGACAAATAATTTATGACTGTGCTAAAGAGTAATCAAAATCATAGAGACAGAGCAGAATGATGGTTGCCAGGAGCTAGAAAAAGGGGGAAATGGAGAGTCTGATGAATACAGAATTTCAGTTTGGGAAGATAAAAAAAGTCCTTCAGATAGATGGTGATAACGGTTGCATATCAATGTGAGTGTACTTAGTACCACCGGATTATACACTTAAAAATGATTGAAATGGTGAATTTTAGGTTGTCTGTATTTCCAATAAAGCAGCTGCTGAAGGAGACGGAATAGCAGCAGGAAAAGATGAAGCTGAGAGGCTCCACTGTACAACTGGAGAGAGATGAGCAAGGGAATTAACCTCAGAGAGAAGGGAAGCAGAGGCTACTAGAGAGAAGCAGTGAAGTAGCTAAGGGGGTAGGTTCAGTGGTAAGATAAGCAAGGCAGTTCCTGTCCATTTCTGATTTCTCTCTGCATTAGGGAGCCAGATCCCCAGCTGAGTAAATGGAAGGGGGGTGGGAAGGAGAGGCGGAGGCAGGAGGAAAGGAAGGCAGGCTGACAGGCAGGGAGGAAAGGAGAGGAGGAATGAAGGAAAGTAAGGAGGAAAGAGAAACGATTTTATGACTGTGTAATAAACCAGGACGAGTGACTGGACCACCAAAAATGTTTAAGTGCCCGCTGAGATGTACTCATGACTAGAAATTGAGACCACTGAGCACAGTTTTGTGTTTTCCTATCACAAGTGTTCAGATGATTGGGAATAAGTATGAAACAGGTGAATAGGAGGGTTTAACTAGGGTTTTTAAACAGCAGGTTAGGCTAGGGAAGGATGACAGGGAAAAGGGAGAAGAAGTTAAGAATGTTTGTAAGAAATTTATTCAAGTAATAGATCTTTTGAGCAGCATAGGAAGATACTGAAGTCTGTTTTGAGGAAAGGGTCAATGCCTGACAGTGAAAATACAATAGATCACTGTCATTATAAGTGGAAGTGTAGAGTAAGACACAGGGCTAGTGTGACAACAGAATAAATGAGCTGGAATGCTAGTGTGTGAAGTGTAAGATTAGGATTCTTGAAATTAAGATGTTAGAGGGGATGCAGTTATTGGTTCATCTGGCTGGTAGACAAAAAACAGGGGTTAAGAACTGTGGACAACTGAAAATCATGGTGTGTGGAAGCCAGAGTGTGACATGCAAAGAAGCTGCCTCTTTCCTGTAAGGGGAGCAGAGCTAATGATCAAGATGTCCCATATCCATCTGGTAATTAAGGATTAACTCCTTGGATTTTTTTAAATTTCTATTTTTCCTATTATGTATACTGTACACCTAACTGAAGAATATTTACCATTGTGTCTCTTTCACGTATCACATGCTCTGAGTCATAACATGAGATTGGTACATTCCGCTGAATAAATAATGAATAAATGAGAAAAATTCAGCACGTAAATGTTCCAAGGACAAACTTTAAGGACAAAGTTTTAGAGGATAATTTTCACCTTAAATCAAATAATTTCGAAACATAAAAACTGATGCTAAAAACCAAAATGAGAGTAAGTCAATCCAAATCATGTCCATATACTGATCAACAGGTAAAAACAAATTATAAGTCGGTCATTAAAAAGATATTCAACTTTGTATACCTTAAAGTTTGCTCTCCCGATTCCTGCATCTTGGCTTTCTTCACCTGTAAAATAAATATACAAAAGCATCAATGTCATGATCTGTTTTTAAAATCATCTAGTTACTCAAATGGCAGCCTCAGATTAACTAATAAATTACAGGGTAACTGTTTCCTTTTGTCTTGCTTAGACTTATATTTATTTCATTAACCTCTGATAAATTTGAGAGTTAAAGATGGGCTTGTTTTTCACATGGGGCTCTTTTTTCTTTTTAATGAAAACAGTGTTTTCTAAACTCAAGGCAAAATAAAAGGTTTACCAGGATTTTTACTCAACACAGAATGTTTACCAGGATAAGGTATCCAAATTTGAAATCAAATTGGGTTACTTTTAAATTTTAAGAGACACATAAATATATTTTCAAACAGTAAGTATGGCAATTTTGCAAACATCTAACCATTTATTTAATAGAAATCTCTTTTACTTACAAGCCAAAAATAAAAATAAATTCCTATCAGGTTACCAGTAATTTAAAAAATATGCTTCACACTATTCTGTTTTTTCCCCATATTTTCATCTTCTCTAAATCCTTCTAAGGTAAAAGCATTTCTATTGAAACAGTTTAAGAAGTCACAAATGGAAGATCTATGGTTAACATTACTAATGATTTTCCCTGTTGTTGTTTTAAATATTACAAAGAATCTGATTGTAGGGTTTTTGAATTAGAATAACTAGTTTCAGAAGTAAGTTTAGTGTGCTTAGCCATACAAATTATGAATACTTAAAAAGTATTTCAAGCTCGCAAAGTACAAAGAGTACCGCCAACCCATTACAAGGAGTTAGGTATGCAGAGAGGCAGAAACTCTGAACAATTTTTTTTAGGCCATGCTGTGCAACATGCAGGATCTTAGTTTCCCCATGAAGGACTGAACCTGTGCCCCCTGCACTGGGAGTCTTAACCACCGGACCGCCAGGGAAGTCCCTGCTAATAAACAATTTTAAACAAGCATATTAGGTGGGAATATAGCTATTAAGTATGATTAAATTTAAAATTTCAAAATACATAATAAATACAACATAAATTCCAGGTCCATTCAATTTCTCATGGACATCTATTCCTCATGAGAAAACATGACAAAATAAATAGAACCAAATACTCTTGGATCCTTGCTGCCTTAACTGATATCAACTGATGCTGCCTTAACTTTCATAGGTGCCAAAAAAGATAAAATTAGTAAGAGGTATTAAAATATCCTCTAAGTTTACAAACAAAATTACAAAAGTATATGAAAAAAAAAAGAAAACAAAAACAAAACCCTTGAGGTAGGTAAACCCTTAGTAAATATGACATTAAATTCAAAAGTCATAAAGGAGAAAATAAGTTTGATTTTACAAAAATTCGAAATTTCCATATGATAAAAGATACCATAAACCAACCAGGAGGTAAAGGGATTACATGCCAGTATATACACTGTGACAAAAGAATTTAACTATATTACCAATACATGACAAAATTTCAATGAAAGGTATGGGAGAAAAATACACTCATGTAATAATGCTGAAAAACTGTTTTGACTGGAAACTGCAAGGCTTAAGACAAGAAAAATTCAACTTAATACAGGCTATTAGAAAATGTGCTGTCCTTCCCACCTGAAGATGACAGTATTTACATAATGCCAAATAATAGAGTAATTTTCCAATAGTGGTGATGAATTTATGCTTAGCTCACCCAAAGACTCTCTTTGCAATCAAAGAAATGAATTTAAAACAGTCTATAGTTTACAACAGTAACCCATACAAAGAAAACCAGAGCAATGAAGAACTAACTTACTACAGTCTTCATTTTATTAGAGTGAAAGAGTAACAAATTTAGCTAGAAAACGCAAAAAAAAAAAAAAAAAAGCCCTGGAGCAAAATTTTAAAATATATTCATAATGGCCTTTCAAGGAAGAACTATGCTTTTTCATTTGTTATCTACTACAGTGCCAACTCAGTAGAGTTATACACACAAACAGAAACAGAGAAAATGAACCTAAAGACATGTCTACCAAACAAAGAAGTCAGGGGATGGAAAATGTGCTCCCAGCTAATTCTGTACCTTTCATGACCCACTGTTACCCTTGATTTGGGCAATTCTGTCCTCCTGTAAGTCAGGGATAGGAAACATGGTATCTTGGTATAGAGGCATTAAACTAACTTAAAGGATACAGATTTCACTGGATTACAAAAGGATGGGTTCAAATAATACAATCCAGAAATGGACAAAAAGAAAACAGTGCAGCTACTTTGGAAAACAGTCTAGCAGTTTCTCAAACAGTTAAACATAAAGCTGCCATATAATCCAGCCATTCCATTCCTGACTATATAACCAAAGAGAAATGAAAACATATATCCACACAAAGACCTGGACATGAATGTTCCTATCAGCACTATTCAACATAGCAAAAAAGGGGAAACCCAGTGTCATGAATAGATGAATGGATAAACACAATACTGACAAATAAAAATGATGAATGATAAAATAAATCCATATAATGAAACATTCCACAATAAAAGGGAATGAAGTATCAATACTTGTGCATGCTAATACAGGTAAACTTTGAAAAGATGATGCTAAGTGAAAGGAGCCAGTCACAAAGGACCACATACTATATAACTCCATTTATACGAAATACTCACAAAAGGTCAACAGGAAAGTAAATTAGTAGTTGCCTAGGATTGGGGCGAGGGCAGAATTGAGAGGTGACTGCTAATGGGTACAGTTTCTTTTTGGAGTGATGAAAATGTTCTAAGATCAACTCTGGTGACAGCAGCAAAACTCTGTGAATATCCTAAAAACCATCCAATCAGATACTTTAAAATGGATGTGAATTATATCTCAATAAATAGAGCTGTCATTTAAAAAATGACATAATCTTTTTTTTTTTGACAGGAAATAGCATTTATTGGTGAGCGTGATTAAGGAGGGAACAGAGCTGATGCTTATGAGTGCAGGGCCCGCCATTTGTCCAGGGGACCACGATTAGGGATGTATTTGACCCCACAGCCGTCTGGGATGAGTCGCTTTTCTGCCACCATGTTCTCAAATTCATCCGCACTGAACTTGGTAAATCCCCACTTCTTGGAGATGTGGATCTTCTGACGGCCAGGGAACTTGAACTTGGCCCGGCGGAGGGCTTCAATCACATGATCCTTGTTCTGCAGCTTGGTGCAGATGGACATTATGACCTGGCCAATGTGGACCCTGGCCACTGTGCCCTGGGGCTTTCCAAAGGCACTGCGCATACCCATCTGGAGTCTAGATTGAGAAAGAGCAGGCCAGCCATGAATGCCCACTAGGAAGAGTTGTCTCCAAGGTCCCTTAGGGCTACCTGTACAGGCAACAGGTTGCATACACTACCAGGGAGGCTGCTGTTTGCAGCCATTGCACACTGGGCCCCCATGGGGAAAAGAGCACAGTCGGCTTAACTGGCTGCAAAAACAAATGACATAATCTTTTTTTTTTTCTTCAAATGACATAATCTTATGGGCACGTTATAACTAAAGGTCACTAAAGGAAGATCCACTGACAAATTATGAATCAGAGTTCTATTTGTGCCTTTGTTTAAAAACATAACAACAAAAAAAAGTGAAGCTTTAAATATAGCAGAGCAAAGGAATACAAATAACACAACATACGAATTCAGAATGTACAGGTTCAAGGCTCAGTTCTGAGAGTTAATTCACTGTGTGTCTATCTCTCTGAAAATAAAACGTAACTATCTACTTCAAAGACCTGCTCTGAAAATGAAATTGGTGAAGGGGAGTGGATAGGGAGAGAACAAATGAGAGTGAGCAGTTTATGAAAGAAAGTGATATACAATTGTTATTAAGAAATACCACTTTCTAGATAAGAAAATAACATTACGCATCTCAAATATTACTCCAGAATTACTCTGAGATGACTTACAAGTATATAATTATTATGCTTCTTAAGTTTTAACAAGAGGCTAAGTCATACTACAGCTTGGTAAACTGTAATCTTGGGAATAATAAATCCAACAGAAATCTGCATGAAGTCTTAAAAGGGAAGACGTTTGAGTCAGAATTTATCCACCACTGTCCAACAAAGCATATCATTCTCTTTAGGAGAAAATTATACTGTATGTTCTAGTTGGGGAAAGAGTGTGATCATAACCTAATGAAATTACACACATAAAAAAAATTAATACTATTTTCTTTGATCACACTTACCAACAGGCAGTGGCAATGTTAGTCGCTCAGTTGTGTTTGACTCTTTCTGCAATCCATGGACTGCAGCCCGCCAGGGCTCTCTGTCCATTGAATTCTCCAGGAGAGAATACTGGAGTGGGTTGCGATTCCCTCCTCCAGGGGATCTTCCCAACCCAGGGATCAAACCTAGGTCTCCTACATTGCAGGCAGATTGTTTACCATCTGAGCCATCAGGGAAGCCCTTACCAACAGTCACCTAATTATTAATTTGACTTCCAGAACTTGACATAAGGAAATCAGCATATAGAGAGTGAGAATAAGCATTCCAAACTACTAGAAAGGTAAATGCCCATGGCAGAGACAACTGCCTATTCCATCACTGCATACGGAACATGACTTGCAATGGGAGACAAGACATGTGTCTTAAGTTCACAGGCTACCAGTTCAAAAGAGGTCACATCTAGATCTAGTAGAAACTAGTGAGTTTCAGATCCTGGACTTGATCTGGATGCATCAATGGATGGAATTTGGGGTTGTTTCTCTTAAGAGAAATGTATAGGGAAAGGAGTTACATATTGTTTTTTAAATCAGAAAATGAAATAGGTGAACCAAAGAAAAGATTATGGTAGATGCACTTATAAATATTCACTAGTCTTTTTCCTCTCCCTGGGTACACAGGATGCTATAGACTGAATGTCTGTATTCCACCCCCCCCACCCCACCAATTCATATTTTGAAATTTTATCCCCAGTATGAGAAAATGTGCAAGCGGGGCTTTTGGGATGGTAAGATTATGAGGGTGGAGCCCTCATGAATGCGATTAGTGCCCTTATAAAGGAGACTTCCTTTGCCCTTTCCACCATGTGGCGACACAGCAAAAATATAGCAGTCTATGAGCCAGGAAGCAGGCCCTTACCAGATACCAAATCACTTACATGTTTGGAATCTAAAACATGATACAAATGAATTTATCTATGAAACAGAAACAGACCCACAAACATAGAGAACAGACTTGTGGTTGCCAAGGGAGCGGGGAGTGGAAGAGGGGTGGACTGGGAGTTTGGGATGAGCAGATGAAAAGTATTATATATATGTATAACTGAATCACTGTGCAGTGCACCAGAAACTAATACAACATTATACACCAACCGCATCTCAATAAAATAAAATTTTAAAAAATCATGACTTTATCATCATCAACTTGGGACAGGACCATTTTTTCCACTGAAGCTTCAGATCTCTACTACAGTCTATGAAAATTTTCCTCAACATCTGACATTAACTCTTCTTATCCTAGTTATTTTTAACAGTTAATACATGTTCCACATTTTCTCTATTTGTCTATTTCACAACCATTAACCACAGGGCCAAACTAAGAGCCAAAGTTGCTTACATCTTCCCCTGCAATCCAGAGTCTACATTTTGAACCATATTCTGAACTATATTCCCCTGCTCTAAATAAACCCAGGGCCAGATACCTAGTGATAGTTTCTGTACCTCAAACCTCCAATCCTAAATGAACAATTACCCTGTTTTACCTTGCCTAAAGAAACCTCAATTAAGGCAGTGGCCTACGCAGTCCCCTACACTACCTTCCAGGATTGCTCTTCGTGTCTCTGCCTCCTGAACTGACACTGGTGCTCTCCCTGTGCCCCTCTGTGGCATGCTGTGTCTCTTATTTCTAAGAGAACTGTAACAGAAAACTGCTCTTTCAATGGCACTGACCTCTTTGTGTTGTCACTCAGTCACCTTTATAAATTAAGACCCAGGTTCAGTTCAGTTCAGTCACTCAGCCATGTCCAACTCTTTGCGACCCCATGAATCGCAGCACGCCAGGCCTCCCTATACATCACCAGCTCCCAAAGTCTACCCAAACCCATGTTCATCGAGTCGGTGAGGCCATCCAGCCATCTCATCCTCTGTTGTCCCCTTCTCCTCCTGCCCTCAATCCTTCCCAGCATCAGGGTCTTTTCCAATGAGTCAACTCTTCGCATGAGGTGGCCAAAGTATTGGAGTTTCAGCTTCAACATCAGTCCTTTCAATGAACACCCAGGACTGATCTCCTTTAGGATGGACTGGTTGGATCTTCTTGCAATCCAAGGGACTCTCAAGAGTCTTCTCCAACACCACAGTACAAAAGTTCAAAAAGACCCAGGTACAAACCAATTAAAAAAAAAAAGATGTCTCATGACAATCATCATTTACAGTCAGCAGAAAATTTTTACTTTTTTTAATTAAAAAAAAATTTTTGGCCACGCCATATGGCTCGCGAGATCTTAGTCACCCACCAGGTATCACACCCATGTCCCTGTTAGTGGAAGTGGAGACTCCCAGCCACTGGACCACCAGGAAATTCCCAGAAAATCTGCTTTTAAACCACTTTAATTTCTCACCTCTCTCTGAAATAACAATCAGGTTTTGCATGTCATGTTATGGAAACTGAGTAGAATGACAAGGAAATGAAACGGGGGGGGGGGGGGGGGGATGACTCACCAACAGGTCAGCTTCACAATTCTTACTACCTTAAACAGGTAAGGAGCAACTAATAATACTCATTTCATCAGTATATCAACATTTACATAAGCGTTTTGAAACTATGACTAGACGATTTGTCTTATGACATTAAAAAGTCAATGACACAATCTTCCTTGGTACATTCAGTGTCTCTAATTCAGCTATCTGTTCTTATAGTGTATATCTTTGATACATTGCTGAGGATGATTTTTAACCCTACCATTTCCCTGATTAATGTTCCACCAGGGATAGGGGAATGACATTTTAAATGTCTCAAAAGGTCATTTTACCAACTGCTTAGGTCTTCCTAGCTTTATACTTAAATGAGGGGACTAAAAGAGTTAATAGCAAAGGAATCACTGATATGCATGTCTCAACATAAAGTAAAATACTTAAAATATATTAGAGGACTTTATCATTTAAATGGAAGCAGATGACCATCTTTCATTGATGTAGAGAATACATCTAGAACATGAAAAACATACTCTGTTATCTGCTTTCAAAATTCAAAGTTTTTTAGGCTGGACTTTTACTGAGAGGTAAAAATGTACCACTCACTATTCTCTTAAAATAAAATGCAAGAGGCTTATTCAGGAGAGCAAATTGAATCGGTATTTACCTTATTTCAGAAAAAGAAGCTCAAGTAGAAGAAAAAGATTCTTTAACAGAAAAGTATTTTAAGAGAATGATTACTATTGTCTTCCTTTTTTAAATGCTATGGGTTAAAAAAAAAACAAAAAACCACACAACACTTAAAAAGACCAAAAGAAAAAAAAAAGAAACCATGGTAAGGCAATAAATCTGTAGCACCCAAGTACATTTAAAATTATTTTATTTATGTTAAATATTTAAAAGAAATTAAGAATTCAACTTATTCTCAAGAGTCTTATCTATTTTAAAGAATTAGCCAAAGACATACAGATGGCTAACAAACACATGAAAAGATGCTCAACATCACTCATTATCAGAGAAATGCAAATCAAAACCTCAATGAGGTACCATTACACGCCAGTCAGAATGGCTGCTATCCAAAAGTCTACAAGCAATAAATGCTGGAGAGGGTGTGGAGAAAATTAAATTCAGGGCTGATTCATGTCAATGTATGGCAAAAACCACTACAATATTGTAAAGTAATTAGCCTCCAACTAATAAAAAAAAAAAGAAGAAAAAAAAAAAAAAGAATTAGCCAGTGGTCAAATTACATTTTCTTCAACTATTACTATTTAAAAAATTTAGTCAGGGAAACTTAGGCAAAAATAAAACTAGATTTTCTAGCACAAATGGTATGTATATACTGTTTGGTAAATGTCCTCTTTTATTTTCTAAAAACTTTAAGAATATCATTGCTTTAAAAATGACAACAATTTATTTTATACTGGAGTATAGCCGATCAACAATGCTGTGTAGTTTCACGTGAACAACAAAGGGACTCAGCCATACATATAGATATATCCATTCTTCCCCAAACTCCCCTCCCATCTAACGTTGAGCACAGTTCCCTGAGTTATAGAACTTGTTGGTTATCCATTTTAAATATAACAGTGTACACATGTCCATCCCAAACTCCCTAACTATCCCTTCACCCCATCCTTCCCTACAGGCATCCGTAAGTTCCTTTTCTAAGACTGTGAGTCTGTTTTGTTTTATAAGTGAGTTCATTTGTATTATTTCTTTTTAGATTTTACATATAACGGATGTCGGGGTTTCCCCGGTGGTGCTGGTGGTAAAGAATTCGCCTGCCAAAGCAGGAGACATAAGAGATGTGGGTTCAATCTCTAGGTTGGGAGGATCCCCTGGAGGACATGACAACTCCACTCCAGTATTCTTGCCTGGAGAATCCCATGGACAGAGGAGCCTGACAGGCTACAGTCTGCAGAGTCCCAAAGAGTCAGACATGACTGAAGCGACAGTCATGTTTTAGCAGCAGCAGCACAAAGGATGTCATACGATACTTCTCCTTTGTCGGACTCACTTCACTCAACTTGACAATTTCTAGGTCCATCCACGTTGCTGCAAATTAGCCATTGCTTTTTGAAAATGGCATTTCTAAATACAAGACTTCTTTTTTTTTTCAATACTTATTTTGTAAAGCTGAATTTTCTAATCAGACTCTTTGGCATTAAGTCAGCAAAATATAAATTTAAGAACACTGTTTTCTTAGAAGAATATTATTAAGGAGTCCTTTCCTCAATTTTATTTCTAACTTAGAATCTGTAGTATAACTGAATAACAGTTAAAGTCTCTTAAAATTAGCCTTTCTACAATCAACTTTAAATTGTTAAAGGAAATACTTACTGGTTGCTCTGGTAAATCTTGCTCTTCTTCCATCAGGA